TAGGTAAATAATATCCAATTAAAACTAATCAGGTTTCTGCATAATCCTAGAAGATCTATGTAGCAAGTCTCATTGAAATATGATTACTAATTGATATATCAAAAACTGAAAATTAATTAATTATGCAAATTAGGTAATTAATATGTACTCATATTACCCTAAAAACTACCAGGTCTGTGCAGTGTCCTATGACATCTATGTACAAAGTGTCATTGAAATGTGATGATTACTACTTGAAATATCAAAAGCTGAAAATTAATTAATTATGCAAATTATCTAATTAATATATACTGATATTACCCTAAAAACTATCAGGTCTGTGCAGTGTCCTATGACATCTGTGTACAAAGTGTTTGTGAAATGTGATGATTACTACTTGAAATATCAAAAGCTGAAAATTAATTAATTATGCAAATTAGCTAATTAATATATACTGAAATTACCCTAAAAACTATCAGGTTTGTGCAGTGTCCTATGACATCTATGTACCAAGTTTTATTGAAATGTGATGATTAGTACTTGAGATATCAGTGGAAAAGCCGAAAATTGATTAATCATTATGTAAATTAGGTAATTAATATTGCACAGATTTTTACCCAAAACTAATCAAATCTGCGCATTAGTTTGGAGCATCTGTGTGCCAAGTTTCATCAAAATCCAATGAGTGGTTCTTTAGATATCAGTGGAACAGCTAAAAATCAGCTAATTATCATGCAAATTAGGTAATTAATATGCATGGATTTTTACCAAAACCTAATCAAATCTGCGCATTGGCCCAGAGCATCTATGCACCAAGTTTCATCAAAAACTGATGCATGATTCTTGAGATATCAGTGGAACAGATGGACACAAACACATACACACACACATACAGACACACTAACTGCAAAGACTCCCTTTTTGTGCTTCGCACACGGGAGTCAATTACATTTTGTGCAAAAAATACTGGCTAAAATTTAGGTATGAACAATTCTGACTGAAAATGGAATAAATAAAAAAACAAGCAGCCTATCGGCTGAGATAGCTCCACTGTTAGCAATGCACATTTCAATTAAAGAACTGAAGACATCATTAGAAAATGAACGATATGAATAGTATCAAAGCAATCGGACTTGCAGTTTTTAACAAGAAGTCGAAAATATCACTTTTTACCAAAAATTACAAAAATATTCACCAAAATAAATAGAGAATTGAAGATATCATCACAAACAAACAAATCTGAAGAGGTCCACATGTAGTACCTATATATGTAA